TTTTGTGTTTGCAGTGGTGCAGACGGGGCCATACGTAACGGTATATACCGATGATGCAAACATAATCTGATGGTCTGAGGTTCTTAAATAGCTGTCCAAGGTTTATAGTCAGTAAATGTGGAAAATACACTTACTCCTGCGCATTGACTTGGTAATGTGAAACACCTCAGTATCATTCAGGTAAGTCCGACTATATGTGCAGCAAAAACGAGTGCAAAAAACAATTTCGTTGAACTCGGACATAGGCCTGACCTTTAAGGTTAGTCATTTATGCACGCCCCGTTCGGGTTTCCCAATAGGCAAGCCTGGTCTTCACCGGTTCCTGCTCTGATTAACGTAAGAGAACAAAGTTGCGTAAACGATATTTCCGGCGTTGATCTGACGAGGCTAAATAAAATAATTCGATGGCGCCTGAACTGGCAAGGAACCAGATTTATTACGATAAATTCATCTCCGATATAAGTATCCTTGTCCAACATTTGATAGCACCGCGGGAATTCATCATTTATTTTTTGCGCGCAGCATTTTTTCTCTCCTCAGGCAACCAGTACCACGTGCCGAACAAACTCCTAACGGTTGTTCGGTTAGGCCCACCTGTGGAGAAATTCCAGTTATGTGTATTGATATATTATTAGTGTCAGCATTAAGGAGCCGAATCTCGAGGAAAATGTGAAACAAAGTAGCATCCTATCTGTTGTCCTCAACTTTCCAGCATGTTTTCACGAACGTAGCCTACCAACTGAGTTTATCGAGATAAGGTTTTCCACATAGAGCTAGAAATTCCTAGGTCCAGCACAATGGTATTGATACGTTACCCCGAATACCTCGTGAATTAAAGTCGTCTAATCCTAGAAATCGTGCCATCTGCAAACCGCTATTACGGAGATAGTGCCTAATGAAAATCAGCAACCTGATTTGCGCAACAACTGGTTCGTGATGCTGTATTGAAAAGGTACAACCACTGGAGCACAAAACCGCCATGCACAAAACTTCTAGGTACTGGATGGATAAGAAAAACCTGTCGCCCCCAGTTCACGTGCTCCAGGTCCGCTAAGATTTGTACCTGTAAATTGTTGAGGGGGGCCATTCATTACTTGAAAAGAACCTAATGGAGAGCACAATTTGTGCATAACTTTTGGAATGAAACAAATTGTTTCTTTGGAACAAGGCACACTGAGACATCGTTTGCGACGACCCGAAAGAGACCGATTTACTTACAAATCAGAATATTCAGGAAGGCTGTTGTGATAGTATTGTTCTGACAATTGTATGAACCATAAGACTCTGGTACTTCAACCGCGTTTTTAAAGACCTTAATGTTAGCACCCATGATTTTTCCACTAAGACGACTAAGCGTACAGAGACCACAAAAAGGGTGTAAACTGGCGGATCAAATGGATAAAACAGAGGGAGAACCTCAGTTTGGCAGCTAGTGCTTCGAAGTTTCACTGTGCTCCAACTTGTGTTAGAAGTCGTCCTGATCCGACCCGATAAGTCACCAGCTTGGCAGAAGGCTTTCTGTTATTGCTATTCATGGCCTGATTTCCGTCCGACGTGGCTTTTGAAGATGATATATTATGAATACTCTGCGCTTGCACGGTAGGAGGCTCTAGGCTAGATGTTGCGAAATATTTACGACAGCAAGTAAGCAGTTACTGTCCTCAAGTTTTGTCTGAAAATTGTCAGGCGTGGAAGCCTTAACGGACGATGTCATTTCTCTGTGCAGACATTTTGAGTCTTTGCAACTTGTCCACTGAATTCGCCATTACATCTTTCGACGATTATGCATCAGTTTTGTGTGTGAAGTCATAATTTTAGTCCTTTTACTTTACATTTGGCGAGAATCTTGCATGCGCCTTTATGAGGTACATCTAATTCTCGCAACATAAACGCAGGTGTTTGGTCACGCAGGATTTTCACCTCACCGGCTAGGAGACCTTGATACCATCCCTCTAAACTTCAATGTCAAACTTCACCTGGGTAATCCCAGGTCTTTCGTTCACCCTAACATCGTTACCTAAACATCGTCAGAACCACGCTACCACTTCGACGTTTGCGGTATTCTGCTCACCCTACTTCATAAAAGTAATCTTCTCCTCGCTCAACATGGTTTTACTTAACTCAGTTAGAGGCTTATGAACCCAACCTTAAGAAATATGCGCCGGGGCAGCTCGACAGAATCGCTCAGCATAACTAATGGGTTTCTGTTTACATAATTCCAAAGGCCTGCCCATTAAGATGGGGTGGTTTTATCGTCACTTTTTGTTTATCCCTTCATCCGTTGGTCCATCAGGCCCTTGACGCCCTGTGAAGAAGGCCCAACAATACTGGCATTATCAGGCCAGTTTACCGAAGCATTTCTAAGATTCCTCCATGATAGTATTATCTTACAAATACTGACAATGGACTTCCATTTCGAGTTCACCTAGACCTTACGCCAATGAACAACGCTAAAAATTCACACTCTGGCATCACACAGCATTTTGTTTATTGCAATATAGATAGTTGGTAACTCCTCACACCAACTTGAATGCGTACATAATTGACTGGTACGCCATGTGTTTGATAACTGTACACGTCTAAAACGCTCTTACTTGATAAGCCAAACCGAGTTATAAATGTGTAAACATTTATTTCGTCTGAAGTCAGGATATATCATTGGTAGTGTACTGAGCTGTTTCTTTACTTTTAGTCTGAATGCATCCAATATTTGACGTGCCGGGTATTGTGAAAATTAAGCTATGAGGGGAAGTGACTGGGGCTGTTTTCATTATCATCTGGATTTCAATCTTGCCCGTTTTGTTTATAGCTGGGCCACGCCAATACAAATGATTTAGACTGAAGTTGGACATGAGGGGTTCCAGATGGATGTCTGAAGAACGGGCATAATTTCTCGAATATGCGAACTCCCCAAGTTCCCCACTGGATATTAACAATGCCCATGTTTATCGCTTTTTTCTGCAACGATTTAATGTTAATTTGTCATTTGAGAGATTTTCCAAGATAAAAATTAGATCAATCAAAAAAGCGCGTCCGCTGAAAAATAACATACGCCGCTACGTGTGTGCTCCCATTCCACCAGGCTCTCTTCATTCACTTATTTCTTTTACCTACAATGGATACACAGTGTGTGCGAAGGGTTCATCAGAAAACTGCCATTTGTTGATAAGTGTTGTAAAATTAGAGCGAAATCAACAAACGTTAAATGATTTGTGCCTATCCGCGTTCCGAGAAATAATCCTGGGAGGGGATTGCGAGGCGCTGGTCAGAAACACTTCCCCGGTTCGCAATAGTTAATCGAATTCATAAGGACTTTGTCATTAGAACTCCTCGCATCTCGCACAGCTGCGGAATCCAGGTGTGTCAATTTCTTGAACACAAACGGATCAGTTGCTCAGTAACAGCGCTAAAGCAACATGCTTCCTGCAGCATTTTCGGGTAAGTTACAGCCTATTCTCACCTGTGGTTCACACAGATTTGCCCAAGGCGTTTAAAAGAATACAGCAAATATCAGTCAAACACCATGGACTCTTTGCCGCGGAACACACGGCGCGCCCTTTCAATATTATGCGCGGGCGTTCTCGTCTCACGGATTTTTGTGGGCTGTGAGATCAGTTTGAAGTAATCGCGCTCACACAGACAGGTTCCTAAGATAACGAAAAAAGATACAGAAAAGCTTCATAGTCTGCGGTCGTGTCATCAATCTTTTCATCATCAGCCCTCATAATGGACGTATACGCTGCAAAGCAGTGGTCGTTGGACTGGCACCTGCCTCTGAATGACGGGACGTGCGTCCATGTGTCATTCGGAGGAGACTAAGCGGAAGCCTTTGTCATGCGTTGTGAGAAAGTAACGGAAAACAGCATGAGGATAGATGCCAAAAAGGATTTAGCCATCTGGCCCTCTACAAACATTCCTTCATGCCACACCATACGGAAGCGTCCTGAAAGACTTCCACCGTTCTACGGATGATCCGGCACACTTTCTCCCGTATTACTCGCATGAACTACCAAATACTTTATGCGGCTTATGGCCCCTCGAATTTCCCAACCAAGTTGACTACTCAGGGCGCACGAAAGATGTCAACCTCAATGAGCGTGCCAGCGAGTCGCCGACTCAAATCGGCAGACTACGAAACGCGTCTCGAGGCGCTTGATCTCCTTCTCCTGGAGTATCTTCACCTCTGAGGGGAACTAATACTTATTTACGCGATGTTTGAACAAAGTTTCGTGAACGAGATTTTCACAGTTGACCCAGTAAACATACAGTGGGGACGTGGTAAGATGACCAAGTTCGGAGCGCACACACTCATCAAGCACTTTTTCTCATTCCGGAGAGTCGCCATTTGGAGTAACCTTCCTCCAATCTCCTGGAGTATCTTCACCTCCGAGGGGAACCAATTCTTATTTACGCGATGTTTGAACAAAGCTCCGTGAACGAGATTTTCACAGCTGACCCAGCAAACATACAGTGGGGACATGGTAAGACGACCAAGTTCGGAGCGCACACACACATTAAGCACTTTTTCTCATTCCAGATAGTCGCCATGTGGAATAACCTTCCTCCAGCGGTTGTCCACGCTCAGCCTAGGACCCAGTTCAAAGCACTATTATACATTTATTTATGCGAGTCCTCGCGCTGGCAAGCATACTTCCCGGCGCTGAGGACTTAAAGAACAGTGCCTTTCGGGTACACGGCAGCCAATGAAAGACGAGAACAAAACCGACCCGGGATATTTACACAGAACCCTCGACCCAACAAATCCGTGGTTCCATGAACTTATGCAGTCGGTGGGCTGTTAAGATTAGCGTATAGAACATATTAACGAACATTGCCATGCACAACGATAAGCTTGCAACAAATTGAGTATATTGGAGCTGTGATACATTGTCCCTAGAATGCAATGGAGAACAAGCCGAATACTGAAACTTCTGGTTCTGTAGAATCTCATGAAAATCCGAGAGTTACCAATTGTTTTAAGTAATCATTTTTCAAGGACGCGTATCTGCTGAATGCCCCCGCGGTTATTGTTTTCACCACGAGGAGTTTACCGTAGCTTCGCGATGTCCGCATATAGCGTGTGTGAACGGGGGTGCTCCAATACCAATGGTTATAGGATGTTCATTAGTGAGTTTTCGACCTTCGAACTTTATATAAAAAGGATCTAGTCATAGGAAGTGTACCAGAATATTGGTACCTCGGGTGCGTTCATTTGTGGTCAATTAGGTGATTGTTGACCTGTTTACCAAGGTTGCTGTCTAGCCCACATACGTCTCGTGATAGATCTGAGTGACATCGCTGGTGATTTCACCCGCGGACTGATGGTGCCACCTCGTTTTGCAACGAAACGCCAAGCCAATTTCGACCTCAAGATTAGCCATGAAGGATCTAACCATAGTTTCGCTGGTTCGGTATTCGGGAGTAGAGAAGAATGTCGAGAGCCTGACTTATCCTCTTCAATGAGTCGTTCGGCGATAGCTAGATAATTGAGGTGGCCGTGTCCATATGTATTGTTGCAAAATTTGATTGGTTCCAGGTCGAGATTAAGACATAAAACCGAAGGGTGTGCGATTTACTCGTCTAATAACGATAGTACGTGAGCTGAAAACGCAAAGTGACGGTTGTCAGTTAATAATGTATGAAAATTAAACATAGACGTGGCTGCTAATTATTCGCGCAACATGCAGGCTTTGAAAGGTGTGCAAGATCATACTCAACGAATGGCTTGTGCTTTCCTCAGAGTCAGTCACTATTTTCACGGTTCGCTACTTCTTACGTATAATCTCAAATAGCTATGGGTTAATTGAGGGAGCAAACAAATACTCTGTCAGTATTTTTCCCCACCTCAGCCGTTCACCAACTGTAATGTTCGGTCCTACAACCATGGAGGGGAAACACCTTGGTAAGGAGCGGCAAGAAAGCGGGAAATTAGGCATTGATTGCAAAAAGGTCTTGTCGTTTGGGAAACTGATGGAGAGCAGAATGCCTGCGCCGTTGGACGACATTAAAATTCGCAAATCGAATCAAGGTGAATCAGTGTGATTGACCCAGCGTTTTGTGCGAATCCGACCCGACATTAGCCCATTTTATAACGACGGGCATACTTTAACGGGAGGGAGATGCGCGCATCTGGCATCTGTTGCCTGCCGTATCCTTCAGGGATGTAGCTGACTAGCACGAGGATAACGCTCCAAGGTAGAAAGATACACTAATAGTTCAGAAGATGATGAGGGCCTAGACTCATAGACTAGGGCTCGAAATGCGCGGGTAGAATAAAAGCTGATACAGAGGTAGAGGACAAACTAAACGGTTGTGAAAAGTGTGCCACTCAGTGATCTAGACGCCGGTCTTTACCATATATTAGTTTTCCAGTACTATCTTTAGCTAACTCATTGAATGAATTTTAGGTCCTGACTTGCGGATTAGCAGGAACAGCTTTTATCCACTCTTAGCCACAGTGACCTCTTCCTTTTCTTTAGTTTGCAGTCCCACCCCCCTCTCCATCTACACAGAAGCTACATTTAAGCTGTTGTCCAATTGATTGTCTAGCTGCATTGTACTCTGAGCTCGAAGACCTTGAGCATCTCACATCAGGGAATGGTACCAACCGTTCTGAGAACCAGTGGTTCCCATATACATGCTTAGAAACATCACTAGCGGAATTCCCGACCGCGGATTTCTCATCCCGATTAAGATCGCTGTCCTCCGACAAGGCTACTCATAACGCGTTGCGAAGTAAGCTTCGACATGTCTCCCTGAATAGTTGTGGCTCGTAAAGTTTTATACTTCTAAATGAAGAACTGACCTCTTTGGTTTGATCGAACTCCCGACCGAACAAGGGAAGAGTGTAGTCCTGGTCAACCTGTGTATTGAAAAAGATCGGTAATCAAGAACTGAACCACGTAATCATTAACTGATGTTGATTTGGTCAATTTGGCTCCAAGGCTGCTCGGTGATAAGGGGCTGCCACGTAACACAACGGTGTCTTTTGTGTCTAAACCCACTAATGCTAAGAAACAACTGCTGAGCTGCACAAAGTTGCAAAAGACGTTCACTGTTATCATTGCGTTTTGTCTCTAGACCGCCAAGGTGTTTCTGGTGAACTGAGGCATCATAGTGCATCGGAATCTCGTCTTAATATTGATTTATTTGAACTCTTCTTGATTGAAAAGATTGTGGTCAGTCGTCAACAGGTGCATTTCAATAACTCGGAGCGTCGGTCCTCTGTTACCTGAATAGGAATGATGATGATTGGTGCGAGTTATATCGAAGTAGAGAGTCAGACCGCACGGAGTGGATGATTTACATGTATCCAGTCGGGCAATCAAGCCTCAACTTGTGAACTTAATGCTGTACCGGGCGAACGGTTGCGAGATCGCTCGAAGGTTGTTGTCTGTAGTGTGTACATAGAGAGGATACCTTAACTTCAAATATTCAAGTTTCTGAGTTGCAGTAGGTGCTGGTCGATAGAGTATCTAGAGTACGGAGAAGAACGACCAGTTGTCCCATCTGCTTAAGGGTTCTCATGTTAAATGCTGCATAAATACATGACGGGGCGAAATAATGGACGTGCAGCGATAGATAATAGCTGTGGCGTAGTCTGTCAGTTCACTAAAGCCTGACCGATGTGCCCACAACTGAGTATGCATAAGAAGAAAAGAAGAATAGACCCGAATCCTAGTCAGAGGTCATTTCGATTTCTCCATCGCTTTTAGTAAACCTAGTGTTCCACTATAACTCCGGCGATTCTGGTAGTTGGAATATCGGATCTTCCGAAAACCTTGTATTTCGCCCTGTAGGTCAGCAGAGCTGAATTGGCGTCCAACGATGAACGATACTGTGTCCAATGTCATTTGTTCTGTACATTAACGAGATACCTCAAATAATTGGTTCACCATGTCCGCCGTGCACTGGTGATCTCAGAATATGACAATTGTTCTTTTCCCCGGGAGACTCATTACCATCATCACCGACAGCATCATATTAGTGTTCAACACCGATGCTGCACTGTTGTAAAGCCATACTTTATTTGAAAGCCTTATTGTAAAGAAAAGAATAAAGGTGGATGGGGAAGGGATTTAGTGCTACTTACTACACTACTACTACTTGCTACACCTCCAGACATTCTTTCAGGGAATCTGGATAGAAACTGACAACATGAACGCCACTGACATTACCTGGCAGCCATATCTTGTAGTGTCTCCAACCGGGCGCAGTGCGGACCACGTGGTTGTCATCCTACAAGACAAGTAGTACCTACCGCACCCAAGCGTTTCGTGACCTCCTTCACACTCCTCTGCCAGGTCAAGGGTTGGTCGCCTCTGCTTCCGCCACCATGAATTGGGCATGGAAAAGAGCACTCTCTTCGGCAAGCGATGGTTAAGCATACGCAACACATGTCCCAACCAACGCAGTTTCTGGTGGTGGAAGTACCCGGTGTACAACCGAACACTCGCTTTATAACTCCCTCGTTACGGAATCGCCGATACCAACCCATAGGAGTTATGGTTCTGAGACAACCATTGTCGAACACCTGAGGGCGTCTCAGTTCCGCTGCCCGAATAGGCCAAGTCTCACAGCCATACGTCAAAACAGCCTGCACTGCAGCTTGTTACATACGTGGGGGTGAGAGATGGCTCAGTAGTTATAGCGCGAATTTGCTGGCCGGAAGGCCCGTGGTTCGAACCCGACCTCTGCCTCTGAACTCCCTTTCTCTAGGCTTGGTCAGCCTGGCAGGATCCGAGCCCTCGTGCTTCCTTCTGGTGGCATGGCAGTTAGGCACCGGAAGTGTGCTACAGCTGAGTGATCGTGATACACCCGCCCCTTCATATTCAGGGGGTACACCATTTTGACGCCATATGTGTCTAAAATTAGCTAACATGATCCGAGCCTTGCAGATGCGTGCATCAACTTCACCTGTCACACTACAATCAGAACTAATACAACTCCCAAGATACGTAAAGCGCTCCACTACTTCCAGGGGCTATCCCTGGATTGTAAGTGTTCAGTGTTCACGAGCATGACCCTACACTTTGCGGGTGCAAGGTGCATGCCAAAGAACAGGATGACTTTGGTCAGTTCATAAAAAAACACTATTGCCTTCTCTTCGAGGATGAGAACATTGTTGTCTGCATATTCCAGATCGACAAGGTTTTCGTCATAGGTTATTTGAACACTAGTGTTTTGGGGACCTTCCAGCGTTCGTTTCATGACTTCATCGATCACGGAGTTAAATATGAATTGAGAGAGTGGGCATCTCTGTCGGACACCGCTTTGTGTACGAAAGCTTTTGGATAGCTCGCCGTAGACTCCCACACGTCCAGAAGTCCGGGACTACAAAGAGCTTATTACGTTCACAAACTTCCGGGGCATTTTATTGGTGGGCAAACGTGTCAAGAACAGACCGGTCAACCGAGTCAAGTGCGCCTTGGAAATCCGAGAATGCTAGAATTATGGGTCGTTTATATGTATGGGGTTTTCCTAGCACCTGATGGAGTATGGAGATTTGGTTAACGCAATTCCTACCATGTCGGAATCCCGCTTGTTGCTCTTGAGTCAGTGTTTAGCTAGCCACCATAAGGCGACAGAGCACAAGTGACGCCAACCATCTCGTTACGACCGGCATCAAATTGATCCTTTTGTGGTTGCAACACTCACTACGAGCCGATTTTTCGAAAATAGGCACCATCACCGACTCTCCCCAGTTGTCTGGGACAGATTCCTTTTCACAAATGCAAGCAAACATATCGGACCAGCGCTGACTGAGGGCTTCATTCCCATATTTTAACGATGGGGATTGGAGGTTATCCGGACCAGAAGCTCGGTGGTGCTTGAAAGAATGTATTCAGTCGTAAACCTCCGAACCCGTAGGTGGTTCCACGTTCACCGTCCAGGGTTCTACGTCAGCTGTGGGCTCCAGATGAATGGCCGCTGGTGGCCACAACAGTTGTTCAATGTTTTCCGCGCAACAATGGAGGCGTTGTTTATTCAAGATAATCACTCCCAACTTTGATGGTTTAGTTCACTGGTGGTTCCCGGGGATCGGTCGCACGAACCAACCGCATCTCCAGCTTCCTGGGCCTCTTACATTTATTTGGCTTTCTGTATCCACCATGCTTCATGGTCGGCCCGCTCGCTCACTTTCACTTGACGTCTGATAATTGGTCGCGCCAGGTTATGTTTAGAACAGACGGATATTTCCCCGGGATTTTAACTGTCACCGCTCGGTCCGTTATCCAGTGCTTGAGTGCGCCTGATGGTGCCGTGCCACTGGCGAAATTCGTAGCACTATGCAGAGGTGGCAATCTCGTCCCAGTATGAGTTCACGTCCGATGGTGGAGCATTAGGAAGAGACCCTGGAAAACACTTCTGGTAACTGCGCTAGCATTCAGACCTGCTAGTGTCTCAGTTTTCAAGCGACTTGTCCGCACCTTAAGCTGCCCGTGAAAACTTAGGGAGAAGCGAGTCCGGATGAGCGCGTGGTTGGAATCCACAAATGTATTCCAAAACGACCGGCAGTCGGTTATTGATCCGCCCCATCGGTAACTGATGGCAATGTGGTCGATTTGAGTTTGTGGCCGGTGTGCGTCTGAGAACATCATGTGGCCAGGCGACTTCGGATAATTCAGAATTTAGTACCGCATGGAAACATCCTGCGATCAGCACACGGTTGAAGCAATCGTTCACCATTGTCCGCACGCACCTAGTCCAATCCTTATCGACCTCCTAATCGAGTCTTAGATACGCTAAGCCTGGCCACTTGTGCATTGAAATCTCCAGCAGCCACCACGATATCTGGGCTTTTAGTTTGCCGCAGTAGGGCATTCAGGGCGTCATAAAACCCGTTTTTGACGACTACAGTCATTTGGGGCGTAGGCAGGCACGATAAAAAAACATTGATCAACTTCATGCTTGTGAGACACCTTCACAAACGTTGTCAGACGATCCGCGCAGACGCGACTATCAACAAGTGCCCAGTCAAACAAGGATACTTCTGCCCGGCGACTTAGCACGATACCAATCCCTGCACATCCCGCTGCAGCAGCCTCTGGATCACCAGAGGTGCGCAGCCGGAAGCGAGTGAAGACTGATGGGGCGTTTAGCCCAATCACTGCTTACAACTTGTATTTTTGTTTCTGAGACACAGCACACACCAATGCCAAGCGAGTCCAGTGTGAGTGCTAAAGCAGCTTGTTGTCCTGACTGCTTCAGAGTGTGCACATTAAACGCGGCCAGATAGACTGGGTGTTGAGGCTTGAAGATTGATTTGAAGGTGTCTGACGATGTGGTCGCCATGTGGCGAGCAGATGCTGCACTCAAAGCCGATGCAAGACGAACGGAGTCATCAGTCCTAATCGCTGGGCCTACGAGGAGAGAGTTATTATTGGGGTGGGGAGAGGGGGAGGAAAAAGTGTGTAAAAGAGTAAGAATGAAGGCGTGAGCATTAGTCTCTTTTGCTTACCCGCCCTATCTTATGCAGCATATAAGGCTACTCAACTGTTGGCACCACGCGACGGCCGATGTGGCCTAAGAGTATTGTTAGTTGTAAGTGTCGTAATTGTACGTGGGCAGAGATACTGTCAGGGTGCCCGAGAGTACGATTAAGGTCCTCAACCAAAGCCTTTGGCGCAAATTCTTAACGCAAGGCAGCGGTGTTTGGCGGGAAATGCAAATGTTTTACCATGTATTACGGAACAAGTCACCACATCTTCCAAACCCCAACCTGGAGGAGCAGGAGACTGTTTGTCAGAGCTCTAGCCATTGACCAACCTGATATGAGAGGCTCTATAAGCGTCGCGTGGACACTTTTCAGTATAGCTCAGTGCATCGATCGGGTGCGGAAACCGTCTCTCTTCGTGACTGCCCGGGGGACTCTGTTTAACTTCAGCAGGTCATGAACATTGTGCGGAACGAAAATGACGGAGTTCATCTCACAATTTAGCAGAAGTATCAGCATTTCAAGTTGGTACCTTCAGGAGCATGGATTACGAAAAGTTTGGTGCTGTTGGCGCAACTCGCCTTCTTGGATGGGAACCGCATGGTCCCCACGACCTGCTTGAAAACACTGCAAGATATAGCTGCTACTCGATGCCAACGGTCTTTTGTTATCAGTTCCTATATAAATTGCCTGACCGAGTGCTTAGAGGCGTAGGAAGCTCGGGGTGATTGTGGTATCATCATCATCATCATCATCAACAGCATGACATCAGTGCTCAACACCGATGCTTCACTGCCGGTAGGCTAGCACTAAATCCCTTCTCCCTACGCTTTTATTTTTTTTTCACGATGAGGCTTTCAAATAAATCATGTTTGTACTGGAGTGAACCATCATTGTTAAACACTCATGTCGTTCTGTCAACGATGACTGCAATGCACAGGCTCCTTGTGAGAGGAATTTCTTTCTATACTGAGGTTAATAATTTAATTGAGACATATAAAACACATAAGTTTCTTACGTGTCAACGATGTGGGAATGATACTAATAGGAGGGGGCGGTCGAAACTTAAAAAAAACATATGATGGAATGGCTGGAAACAAAGGGCGCTATCCAACCCGTTGGCTGCCTACCGTGAACACCAGAAATTCTAGAGTTTTATTTATCTGTATTTGGAAACAAAGGATTGCGAAATTCTTATGCGGAAACGTAGAGGTCAAAGGTGGTGAACAGAAAGCAGAGTATCACAAGAGAGGTTTCATTAAAAATGCATTGATACTGTATGTCCAGGAACCGTGCATGAAGCAGGATGCTATCAAGAACTTGTTTCGAAATGATTTCATTTTGTCTTACGAAGCGCTAACACATATCCAAACATCTAATAACCTTCGAGAAATACACTCATTTGCAAATCAATTTGGTTCTCATGAGGGACTCAACTGAATCTCTCGTTTATGGTAAACGAGAGGTTGATTTGTAAATGAGTGTATTACTCGAAAACGGTCCAATTTGGGTTCAAGTAGAACATAAGGTTGACGGAAACTAGGGGACTGCGCCTACCTGATGAGCCCCAAGAAGGGGCTGTCGAAGAGTTTTCAGCAACCTTGTGAGTAGTTTCTGTTATCTAATAACTTTGATCTCACAAGATTATAAATAGAAGAACAACTCCATTCAACCGTTAGTTATCCACTTTCAAAGTGCAAGTGTAGATGTGTTGCAGTCGCATTCATGAATATCCCATACTGTTCCCGTTGATCTTAGTCTGAGGCTATGGCTTCACGGCATATGCATCGCGGTTACTTTCAATAGGCAAACGAAATGCGAGGGTGGAAATACTGCAGACTTTCTAATCTTTCCTTTTTCGAAAGAGTCTCTGTGCGAAAGCTTGGAAATCAGGGAAACGTCAGCGCGATTATTTGTTTTCGCAGGTGTTATCTTGCGAAGATTCAGTAGCGAATGGGACCACAGAGCTGTGGAAGTCAAGCAAAGTATCTTCTAAGTTGTTCTTTCACTGACCATATCTTTACTTCACGGCAAACTATCGCATGTCGTCTTACGGATTACTACCCATGACCACTCTTGGTTTAAGAGCAATCATATCTGTTCGACCACAATGTCATGCAGCTATGAGCAACCAACAAAGACCTTCATGAACTGTTCGCGTCGTCCCACCCTCATTGACGTGTAAGGATCGGCGGATAATTTCTCATGCTTTTGCCGAATGAATTGCAGCCCTTTTCAAATTCAGTCCTAACTCTACCACTACTGTGTATGAAACATTGTGACCCTCTGGTACATCTCATTAGAACCTTTAGAAGACAAGCTGTGATATGTTAACTTTTCTTCCACTCGTACAAATTATATGAAATAAAGAATAGAAACGGTGTTGAAGGGATACTAGTTGATTTCTACGAGTCGCCTAATCAGTATCAAGGTAGCCGAATTGTTTGTCTCAGTTGTTTTTGTACAGGTAGTCTGGGCTAGTTTGATTTAATCAGTAGTGCCATGTCCTATATGGCTATATCCTTGGATAGTATGTTACACAAAAGGATTCGGAGTTATCTAACCGCGTCAATCTGGTAGCCAAATTCCCCTAGATCTCTGACTGTTAGCGGTGCAGGATTGGACATGAGAAATGAAGGTTGTCCTGGCAACATCAGGATTACATACTTCGAAGTGTGTTTTGCCATGTGTTCCGTTGGATAGCTGTCTCTCTACACCCGAAGAGAGTAACACAAATGACTGTGAGTTCCCGCTATTTTAATCTGACATATTGGTGTGTCCCAGTCAATCTGTACACCATTCAATTTCGCTAAGCTACTGTCCCTAGGAAACGGTATGTCGAACAGATTCTGCAGAATCTCTTGAGACCCAATCAGAATACACCAGGTCGTGGTTTTCACCATCTTTCCAAATCCCTCAGAGCAGTTCAAGCCCTTTGCTGGTCATTTTCATCATAGATGATGTCTTTAAGCGAGCTATGGTTGTGGTAACACTCGGGGGCGTGGACCACCCACAAAACGCTCTGCCTAGATTACGCGAACGACATAATATTGTGTACGATGAATCTAAGATTCTGGTAAACAGTAAGTAAACAAACCGGTAACGAAAACCATAGGTTTTCGGTGGCGAGTCGAATCAGCTTCCTAACCGTGCGACACTGAGGACTGTCTGTTTTCGAGGTATTCGAAAACGTAGACCAAAGTTTTGGCTATCTTCTGTAAATGGTACCTTCGTACTTGTCAAGAACTCTAAGCTAAGTGACGTATCAAGGATGTGCTTCCAGCCATTTGACTCAGAAAAACGGGTATTCGAATTCCTTTCAGGGACGTACCTGTTTCTGGACAGACGGATGGGACGGTTCACGCCATGGAAAGCAAAAGCAGTATTTTTGTTTGGCATCAGTCTTTTCATATGGGATGAACCTACCGTAGCACACGGGCTGTTTCCGAAAGAAAGCGCATCGTCAGGACCAGCCGTTGTTCTCTTTCGATATGAAATGAATCACAAATGCGTGTTTCAGAAGCCAGGACATGATGATTAATCCAGTCCAGATAACCGGTTCGAACATCTGCTTTACAGTGCTCCATAACTGCTTCGTTCTTTTTAAACTTGGCACCCACATCAGTCAGCAGCCACCACGGTTTCTGTTACGCGTTCCACCGTATGACACCTGGCTTTGCTTGCCACTTTCCATGTCGTACATGCGACCATGGTTATCCTGGTGTGAAATTTGAACAATGATAGACCCGTTTTCATAAAGAAAACTACTCACAAGGTTGCTGAAACTCTCCTATTGCTTGCCACTTTCCATGTCGTACATGCGACCATGGTTATCCTGGTGTGAAATTTGAACAATGATAGACCCGTTTTCATAAAGAAAACTACTCACAAGGTTGCTGAAAACTCTCCTACCCGCTTCCACAGGTTTCGCTACCTCTACGACATACGAACACCTGTGATACCAATCTTCCATAGACGCGGTAGAGTCGTACAGTTTGCAACACTTTGTTGTTTGACTCAGCGAATGGCAAACATCTTTAAGACTTAGCTATGGTGTAGTTGAAAACGACACCGGTGCCTGAGCGTGTTTGATATCAGTGATCTGTTTCTAAGTACAGACAGTCTCGCAGTGTCTGCCGACCAACTTAATTAACGTTCGGGCTCAGAAACAAAGCCACTGGTTACCGTGCTGGCCTCCAGATCATTATTCTGAGTTTCGTTCCGCAGTGTCGGTCCGGAACTGCTGACGTTCCATGAGGTCACGCCCATGAACACGAATGTGCCTGAACTGTCCCATTAGCTTGCTTTAGGGTGCAAAAAAATTTCTGTGAATAGTTTCGTCTGATGGCCCTGCCCCTTCATCCCGTTTGTAGTTGTGACAACTGAAATAGACCTGAAATTTGAACATTCTTCACTGTTTATTACCTTGTTGTGTCAGTTATATTATTACTTGTTGCTATCTTGTAGTTGGCTCTAATCATGCATCTGTCGTCTATTCTCATTGGTATCCAGAATCCACTTCAGGTCCAATATCTCCATTCCATGACATACCACTTCATTCGGACAAACAGAAAAACATTTTCAACATGCTGGTTGAAATTCCTCGGTGGACAAACGCCAAAATGGAGATTTGTAAAGAGGAGTTCATGAATCCGATCAAACAGGATGTCAAAAATGGAAAGCTGCGTTTCGTGAACAACATATTTCCACACAAAGGTTATATTTGGAACTACGGTGCTCTTCCTCAGACATGGGAGGACCCCAACCATCAGGACCCGAACACGAATGCAAAGGGAGACAATGACCCGATAGATGTTTGTGAAATCGGATCGAAAATCCTCTCACGTGGCTCTGTGGTTCCCGTAAAGGTACTCGGCATCTTAGCAATGATCGACGAGGGTAAGCAGTGGGGCTCTTAATAGTCCCAAAGAAGAATCAAGTTTCCTCTTTCCGGAGCTTCGAAAATCTTTCCGTACTGCTTCGATATTATTAGGGAGTTGACAGGTTGGATTGATTACTAATAACGCGAGGCTAACTCTCAGTCTGTCAACCAATCAAGGACAGTCTTCGAAGCAACTAGATTTTCCCAGCTCTTTCTACCTTAATCCCGGCGTTTCACTCTTTAATGTACGGTCAATGTGTGTGGCTGGATCTACGCTACTTTCGGACGCACTTAAATGTAGGCGTGTTAAGGAAATCTCACGAATATCATAAACGAGAGATTCAGTTGAGTCTCTCGTGAAACCAAATTGATTTGCAAATGAAATGGCACAATATTTTTCGTTGGAGATACTGGCGAGGATTATGAAGCTTATTTGGAACGTGCAATTTGCGACTGTCTTTAGTAGCGTCCTACTGACCTTGGAGGTGTTGACGAATACGTCTACTGGTGAGTTCAATCGAGTTCCAATCGGACACCGATCACCATGACAGGTTCTGAACAGCCTACTAAAATTAAGTAGTTTATTTTAGCGTAGCCTATTCGGGGTAGAACAGGTCGGTGCAGTAAATCTACTGAGAATTTTCGGCCGCACTACTCCCACCCTGGAATGCCTTCGAAAAAAACGCCAACCGGATTCAGTGGTATAAAGGGAGAGGATCACGCTGGATGAGCGGATAGCCTGACACTTGCTCGTTTCATGCACAACTAGACAGTCCTGTTATTCGTTACAGGGAGGTCGTAAGATGGAGTATCAGTTTTTTAATGTCCTAATGATCATTCCTGTCTTCAGCCAGTGTTCGGAAAGCGTCATCGAAACCACACGTCTTTGTCCAGACAACGATTTATTGATTTTTCTATCGATGTTTCAAAACAGAACATTGAAAATTCGCCAGCGGTCGATGCATCATCTGACCTTGTCTTAATTTCTAACGCCATCTAATGAGTGGACCATGTAGGATATGTAGATACACCAAGGTTATTGTCATAGTGGTTAGCTGTCCTATCCGGCATCACTCGACCCGACGGATTTTCAGAACACACACAGAATCGACATAGTCAAATAAGTGACTCGTACTGTGTGTTGCGGTGTTGAGTGCCTACCTTTGTGTCATGCCAGATAGTGAGAAAACAACATTGTGAGCCGCATGGTATATTCCTCTTGGTTGACATGATTCGCATGATTTGGCACTCACTGTTACGAAATTCACTGTTTACATACAGTATCGAGTACTTCGGGGCTCGACATTCCGCGTGATCTTTCGTGCCATTGTCTTGTTTTCTTCACCGTACTCAATTTAATTTATCGGAACCCCCCATCGGTGGTTTTTGGAATGATCTTTGCAACACTGTCACGTCGGTAGAAGGACGGAGCTTCGCTATTAATCCATAATACGGGATTTTTTCCTGACATTCCAGCACAACTCATCCCCAGATCCCACCAAACTAAACGCAGTATTTCTCCTACGTATACGCCATATCTGGGTGGTTTAAGTCCGTGGTCTTCAACTTTTGTGCACAATCATGTGTCCAGTTTTTGCAAGTCTAAGTCGTACAGTTTCCTACCCCGTCAAGCCAAATGTGAGTAAAATAGACCTGCACCGTGAAGACTAGGCAGATTACTCGCTTGAGTTATTACCATGATTTCGTTCAATTGAAGTGCACTTAGGTCACCGTCTTCTTGCACCTTTGCTGTTTGTATTTCCTCGTGCACCAGATGCAGCACACATGTGAATGTCTACTTGGCTTACTATCAACTCTAGCCCCTAGAGACCTCAGAAACTGCAGACGCTTACCTCTGAGTAGATCGGGGTTAGCTAAAAACATATTGAACATTTTTGCAGCTTTTGCACCACTTTTGGCACGTTTTATGCCTGCACTGCACGCAAATCCTGGTAGAGCTTTATTTGTGCCTACCACAAATGCTTCGATTACAACACATGGTCTTGGTATGTAGGTGTCCTGAAACTGCCTGAAGAAGTTTCTATGAGTGTATGCTTCAGCCGTTAGGTAGCGTAGATATCTTAGGCAGTGGCTTTGTCTACTGTCGCCAAACTGATTTGTGCCTCGCATCTAAAGACTGGGAGTTAACTCCGAACTTGCTGGATCAGCCACAAACGGATTATTAGAATGAGATTTGTCATATTTAATGTGCTTAACATGCTAGTGCAATCTATCCGATCGGGATACCCTCAAAAATACTCGTTTGAGTCAACCGGCCCGACACCTAACAATGGCGTACGGTTTGAGAAATAGTCGTTCGAACTGAGAAAGTACATGAGGCCACGTGCTCCTCTTCTTCCACTGTGACGAGTATTGCACGCATAAATGGCATTGGTCGCTCTGACTATCCATAGCGGTTTCAATTACTGTTTACATACAGTATCGAGTACTTCGGGGCTCGACATTCCGCGTGATCTTTCGTGCCATTGTCTTGTTTTCTTCACCGTACTCAATTTAATTTATCGGAACCCCCCATCGGTGGTTTTTGGAATGATCTTTGCAACACTGTCACGTCGGTAGAAGGACGGAGCTTCGCTATTAATCCATAATACGGGATTTTTTCCTGACATTCCAGCACAACTCATCCCCAGATCCCACCAAACTAAACGCAGTATTTCTCCTACGTATACGCCATATCTGGGTGGTTTAAGTCCGTGGTCTTCAACTTTTGTGCACAATCATGTGTCCAGTTTTTGCAAGTCTAAGTCGTACAGTTTCCTACCCCGTCAAGCCAAATGTGAGTAAAATAGACCTGCACCGTGAAGACTAGGCAGATTACTCGCTTGAGTTATTACCATGATTTCGTTCAATTGAAGTGCAATTAGATCACCGTCTTCTTGCGCCTTTGCTGTTTGTATTTCCTCGTGCACCAGATGCAGCACACATGTGAATGTCTACTTGGCTTACTATCAACTCTAGCCCCTAGAGAGCTCAGAAACTGCAGACGCTTACCTCTGAGTAGATCGGGGCGAGCTAAAAACATATTGAACATTTTTGCAGCTTTTGCACCACTTTTGGCACGTTTTATGCCTGCACTGCACGCAAATCCTGGTAGAGCTTTATTTGTGCCTACCACAAATGCTTCGATTACAACACATGGTCTTGGTATGTAGGTGTCCTGAAACTGCCTGAAGAAGTTTCTATGAGTGTATGCTTCAGCCGTTAGGTAGCGTAGATATCTTAGGCAGTGGCTTTGTCTACTGCCGCCAAACTGATTTGTGCCTCGCATCTAAAGACTGGGAGTTAACTCCGAACTTGCTGGATCAGCCACAAACGGATTATTAGAATGAGATTTGTCATATTTAATGTGCTTAACATGCTAGTGCAATCTATCCGATCGGGATACCCTCAAAAATACTCGTTTGAGTCAACCGGCCCGACACCTAACAATGGCGTACGGTTTGAGAAATAGTCGTTCGAACTGAGAAAGTACATGAGGCCACGTGCTCCTCTTCTTCCACTGTGACGAGTATTGCACGCATAAATGGCATTGGTCGCTCTGACTATCCATAGCTTTAGGTTTCAATTGTCAGCATCTCCTTCCAGATGACCAAGCATAGCGATCGTTCGAAATACTGTTCGGTCAGTCGAGGTTCGCAATGATGGTTTCACGTGAAGCAAACTAGTGTCGTTTAGTCCGGAATGATACCAGCAGTTGAATTACCTTTTTATGATGCATGTGTTACGTACCAAAATGACCTTTTTTCGTCTGTACTATCTGCCAAATAATTTACATTCGTTACTTCGGTAGCACGCTGTCTTTTGATTTGACCGTCGATTGTCAACTAATATCTCGTATCGCCAAATCCTCTGTAGTTTTTGGTGAGCTTGAAAAATGGATGTGCAGAAACCATGTTTGTAGCTCGAGACCAAAATGAATGCTTGTGGGCCAGCTGTCACGTCTGTCTTTTAGGATGGTATTGAAACACTGTATGAACCGGCGTAGTAAACAGTAGATCAGCTTCCTATCAGGAATAGTCGCTTCGTTCGTAGATAGTTTCCTATTCAGCCTACATCCGGATAGGTAGTGTCATACATTACGGCCTTCCAGTTGATCACAGATATCAACGACAGTTCCAAAAAACAGACTAACCCTCTCACCGTCCCCCTAAGGCCGCTTCACTCCGACCCCACGAGATTAGCTCTGATATTCTTGCCCCTTCACAAACTACCTTCCCACCTCCCAACAAAGCTATCAATATCTCCACGGAGCAATATACCATACCAGCAAAGATCAGGGTGTGAATTTCGCGCACTCGCTTATTGTGTTCTTGTGCCATTTAGGTGTCATGAATACACTGTTACCCCCCTAGATAACTGGATCCAATAAAACGATTTTCGTCCGTATGACATACAACTGCTGACACCTCCCCCTCTGTGTGGGCTCCGCTTTGGAGATTACTTTTTTGCCCCTTGCGAGTCCTCAGAATGATTGGTCTCCTCCCAGAAAAAAACATTTTCGTGCTCTCAGAAAACCACTTGAAAAGATTGGACTCTTGTGATTTTATTTCATTTGTCAACTGACGAGAGACGATTTTAAAGAACCACCCGAAAACTATCTTCCCTGGGGAAGAATTTACTCCCCATATGCCATACAAAATGGTTCTTTGACAGTCGCTCTCCTGAGAATGGTTTTCCAAGGAATGGACGGATGCGATTTCACGGGATCATACACAGAACCTTAAGCTAAAGAATCGCTTGGTGATGTCACGTCGTGCACATCAGTGTCACTACTTGATAGGCTTTTCTTATACAGCTTAGTGGGAGTATGTACAATGATATCACGCACAAATTTGTATACAAACAATTTCCTGGTGCAAATGCAGTTGGCATGTGTAAGACGGTATATTATTAATGGAGTTTTGCTGACATCTATCTTCATAACGATATTTGTGGACGGGGGCGAGATAACCCAAGTGGTTAGAGCGCGAATTTACTGACCGGAAAATCCGTGGTTCGAACCCGACCTTTGCCCCTAGATTTCCCCTGTCTAGGCTTGGCCACCTGACAGTATCCCAGCCCTCATGCAACCTTCGGGTAGCATGGCAGCTAGGCAGCGAAAGGGTGCTACAGCTGAGCGATTTTTTTATTTGTGACGATAAGATTTGTCTATTTGTGATGATGTTTGTCATATGGTGATGTTATAACAGAGTCATAATATTGATGTGCTAGCAGTTGTGTAAAAATTTGGAGTATGTAGATTGTTAGCGATACCACTTTGGTTTTCAAGGGAGACAGCTGAATCTCTCGTTTATGGTCTTCTTCGAAGAGTTTTCAGCAACCTAACGAGTAGTATGTTACTTCTATACTATGTATACTGTTATTTATTCTCTGTAGGAGAGATTTTGTACGTATGGGCCGTTTCTCAGGGGTGGTCCTGTTGTGGAAGTGCATACGGGTACGTTTTGTGCGAATCAGTGGTATGGATCACCGGGCTAACTGTTCAGTTACTCTCACCTGATCTGGCAATTATGAGCTATTGGTCGTGCAGGTTGATTGTTTTACGTTTTCCTTCTTTTCTCTCGGTTCCACAGGCGGCTGAAAGCAATACTTGGTTGTAGTTGTGCTTCACGGAGCACATTGGCCTAGTTCGATGTGATAGGCGCATCCGAAAACTGATGCCAGCTAATTGTAACACCGTTCTGCTGTCGTGTCTCTTAAGTATGTAACCCAATTATCGGGATGTAGGAACTAACCGTTGAGTCATGCACAGTGAAAATGGTGTGCATCTCATGATGTGTTGTGATATTTTCAATTTTGTATCCGAGTGAAGCAACCGGTGTTGGTGTCGCCGAAGTTGACCGTATTTAGCTGAATCGCACCAAAGTCCCAGCTAATTATGCAGATTTTGCACCTACTTACGTATTCACCAAATCATCGTAGTCTGTGGTGTTTCCCGTGAAAGCCTTGAGGCGTTTCTTTCATTTGTACTGATCCCTATGAAGCTGCGCGGCTTTCGTAGCTTTATCTTGTTCTGCCCGATAGCCTAACGGAATTCGGTTACACGAATTCAAAACCAAGTCATCTAGCGCTATCTCTGATCTACTATACTCTTTGGGGGTAGTGAGTGCCGTTTCAGTATAGCTCCTTATTCTTTTTCCTAGTTGTTCCTCAAAACTATTTTTTATTCACCGTTAGTTATCGGACAACAAATGCAAGTCAACCTAGTTTCCGGTCGTGTTTTCTCCAGGTTGCCTTGTTTAAAATGGGTGTGGTAGTTGTAATCTCGCGGACGATTTTATCTAGGCGTGGTTCAACTTGGAAATCTCCCGGCTCATTCTCTGATGCTCAAATTTTCTGAAGAGCTTGGCCTCGTTAGTGAGGTACTGTTATTCTCCGGTTCGGCGCAGAAAAGAACACAGTGTTAGTCAAACAAACAAGCATACTAGGATCTGTAATTAGCCGTCCCATGTGAAATGTTTTGAATATTCTTATCCATAAGATGTTTCCTCTTCCACTCAGTTTAACTGACTGGGTTCGTTCAGCTATGATGCCCTTTCGTTGCCTAGCTACCGTGCCACACGAGGGCTGCAATACTGCTTGGTTTTTCGAACCTGGACGGAAGCATTTTGGTTCGAATTATGGGCCTTTCGATCAGTAAGCTGGCCCCTCAACCACTGAGCTACCTCGACTGATGCTCAAATTTTCTGAAGAGCTTGGCCTCGTTAGTGAGGTACTGTTATTCTCCGGTTCGGCGCAGAAAAGAACACAGTGTTAGTCAAACAAACAAGCATACTAGGATCTGTAATTAGCCGTCCCATGTGAAATGTTTTGAATATTCTTATCCATAAGATGTTTCCTCTTCCACTCAGTTTAACTGACTGTGTTCGTTCAGCTATGATGCCCTTTCGTTGCCTAGCTACCGTGCCACACGAGGGCTGGAATACTGCTTGGTTTTCGAACCTGGACGGGAGCATTTTGGCTCGAATTATGAGCCTTTCGATCAGTAAGCTGACCCCTCAACCACTGAGCTACCTCGGACTCAGTTGGATTATTCCTCAAACCCGATGAAAGCTGTATTCCTTCAGTAACTGACTGTGTTCGTTCAGCTATGATGCCCTTTCGTTGCCTAGCTACCGTGCCACACGAGGGCTGGAATACTGCTTGGTTTTCGAACCTGGACGGGAGCATTTTGGCTCGAATTATGAGCCTTTCGATCAGTAAGCTGACCCCTCAACCACTGAGCTACCTCGGACTCAGTTGGATTATTCCTCAAACCCGATGAAAGCTGTTATTCCTTCAGGGTCCTGTTCCACTACTTTAGGTACAGGTTCCAATTAGCTCTTTTAATGAGAAATGATTGACTGAGATTTTGGCGTGGCTCCAATTGGACATAATTTTTTCGACTACCAATACTGATTGCATGTTCGACGAGCCAAAAATGAAAACACCGGCAGAAATTCCATTTGAGAGTGCAAGAAATGTCATCCCTTTATCTTTCACCGGATTTCCGACCCTTTTGAAACGTAACGTTTTTTGTCCAGCTTAAAAGTCTAGAAAACGTCGCCGACAGTGAGCCCCACACAAATCCCTGTTCGGACTTCTAACAGTTATTGGGCTTGTTCACAATTCTGGTTGAAGTAGCCAGAATTTCCTTACACGTTGATGATGCGCAGTTTGTAAACACTCCATGAATTATATTCACACCCATCCAACCCTGTGCCCCGCATATTCGTTCGAAGGACATCATTAACGAAATTTTCATCTAGATTTTCGCTCAAGAACGGTGCCTTGCAAGCACCTTATCAATACAACGTCTGTATAACTTATTCTCGAATAAAACAAAACGTTCACTTGATATCGGGCACTGCGCTTAGCAGGCGACCAACCTATATTAGTCGGTTGTTGAAATTCTGTGAATCTTCTTATACTTTTTGTGGGAACGATTGATTCTATTTCACATTGTAGGTGAAACGGATTGGAAAGTAATCGCCATTCACACTGATGATCCGTTGGCAAACAAGTTAAATGGTAGGTTGGTGGTTAGTTGATCATCTGATATCTTTCCTTTCAAGACATTGATGATGTGGACAAACATATGCCCGGACTTCTCAAGGTGGGTCATTTTTCTCGCTCCGGTTTATCGAATGTGAATACACTTTACATGTCTGATAAGGAAAGAGGTCATCATTCCAGGAGCTAGTCATTACTTAAGGCGAATTACTTGTCTGAAGGCTAAGGAAGTCTTACTGCTAATTAGCCACTGATGGCCAAATCATATTGCGCTCGGTCACTAGCCTGAAGATCCCTGGTTCGAATCTTGCCATAGGTTCGTGGGATACGCACTGCCCATAGTTCCCAACGTGTTGAAACAGCTTTCCATGAAGTCATTAGTCTTCAGCAAACGTTATTATCTATTTTGTTTTGAGTTTCTCCATGTACTTTTATCATTCCTTGTCCCTATTGGAACAAGGGGTGTGAACCTTGTAGTTCAAGTGCAGCCATCAGTTTTCACGCTCATGGAGTCTATGCGGCATGACGATACCATACTGGGTGATTCAATAGTTTTATTTAGGGTAATCAGCAGTCGTAACATGTGACGCCAGGTATTCCATGATTCCTTGGTTTGTATAGGTACTTCTTCCATCTTCAAACTTTAGGCCACCCGGGACTGGTTCAGGTTTTACAAAGTGCCGACTGGGAAACCAGAAAACACGTTCGCCTTCAACGGTGACTTCAAAAACAAGGTATGTTCCCCGATTTCTTCTCTACGACTTTATCGCCTATTGATTTATTTAATCTATTTTCTGGTTGCAAGTTCGATACCTCAGTTAAATTTTCCTTGTTTTTTCTCCAGTGCATCCACATTGTGTTCCGTTTTGTACAATATAACTGCGCAGTCTTTCTTCTATTATATTGATGAGCTTGACTTTATTATTATCAGCAAGAAGAAGAAAGATCACTGCTGAGACTGGACTAACCCGGTAGTACCATGCCGACCAACAACGCTGCTTCGTGGCCGGGCTTGAGCCAGAGGCTTTCACTCTGTACCCTAGTCGTTTTCCTGTCTAGTTTTGGGCTTCCTAGCATTAGCTAAGCCCCTTGCAACCGTGAATTCCATAGATAAAAGTACTTCCATGCCGCGAAACATAGTTGGTTTGCAAGTGAGTGTATCCCGCTAATTTCGTGCAATTTGGGTTCAAGTAGAACATAAGGTTGACGTAAGCCCGGGGATTGTGCATACCTGATGAGCCACAAGAAGGGCGAAACCGGTCATGGGCTGTAGAAGAGTTTTCAGCAACCTTGTGGGTAGTTTACTTTGTGAAAATATACTGGGTATCTCGAATATCGTACCAAATGAAACATGAGGTGGTCTTTGTGAAGCACATTCAGTTGCTTAAAAACATCATAAACGAGAGATTCAACTGGGTTGCAGGTAAGTCTCTCGCAAAACCAAATTGATCTGCAAATGAGTGTTTTTCTCCACTTTCACGCCACTTTGGCCGTCGTGTGATGACATCATCTGGGTCGCCTTGCTGGCTGCGTGCAATGGGGGCGAATAGGCAAAAATATTCGGCTGTTGACGATCCCCATCTCTCTACACCACAATGTCATCGTTGTGCCCTGTTCCGCTTGATGATTGCTCTACTGTAGATCCCAGCTGGAGACTTCAGTGAAACACTAGGGCACTGGAAGGCCAGTGCGGCCGGAAATACCCTGAAACTGTTCCAGCTAATCCTACAACAGGACCTAGAATGCTCTCCGCAAATGATTTAATCAAATATAATATTGGAAACCTAATGTATAATAAATACCAGCGTCTAGTTCGCTGGTCGGGACACTTTAACTAACATCTAGTTAGACTTCTTGGTTGTTTTGAGCTTGTTATTTGAATTTCAAACGTTTTATCAATAATTAAGGGTCGAAATCCTCCGACAGCGTTCACTCACTCAGACGACATGTTTCTATTTGGATCTGATCCCGTGCTGTCGCAGACAGTATTAAATAACCCAAATAACTTCACCTCGTGGTTTGGCGTCCGCTTCGCACCCGCGAGATGTAGAGTGCTGCTGTATGACTGGATCAAATCCGAACTTCGTGCTTGCAGATGAACTGTTTGGAGTAATGAACAAACTGGTCTACCTTGAAAGCTGTATCAGTCCCGCTGATTAGGTCAAAGGCGATATTACCATCCTGGTTAGGAAGGTCGGAGCAGCTGTGACGCTGTCGTGGAGCAAACACTTCAAGGGATCATTAATCTGGGTATCGAAATCACATTTGACGAGAGATTGATAGGTTTGGATTATGCGGGTGACTTCGTTTTGTTATGCACTTATTTTTCCAGGATATTGAAAGTGTTTTCACATTTCGGTACGCGTTTTCTACTCTACTTCAGGATTTTCCATCATCTTGTGTCTCTAAAACTTCAGAATGAGAAACTTGAGTTTGTTTTCGGTTCACATATCCTGGCAACTGCACAAACCATGACTGCACCGCAATTTGCAACTAATCAGAACGCGAGGAAGGCTCGCCACCTGGTCACTTTTGGCATCTACAGCTGACAATGATGATGATGAATTTTGGCATCAGAATCTAATTTTCCCGGAGCTAAAGGGCCATGTATGGAAGGTGACTATATAAACGACCTTTATATTTGTGGGACTTCGCCCCTGAGGACATTAAGCTTTGAACTATTGATCACAGGCGTAGCGTGAATTAGCTAGCTGCAGAAGGTACGCAAGGACATGTCTGGAGCGCGTTGCACGTTTCCCCGACCACCATTTGCCCAAGAAAACGTCTCCCATCCCAGGCGAAAGTTTGTCGGGGGATAGACCATGACATGGCAGCGTGAAACAAGAGCGGCGGAAGACAAACTGAGTGCTATGGGACTTTTGGGCCTTCCAGACTGGGGCCCACATGATCCTGTTTCAAGTGGCTGTCAACCTTGCAGGACGTGGCGTTCATGCTCACAGTTCCTAGGTGGATTGTCCCGTTAATGTCGTTGTGCGCTTGGCTTATATCGGATGAAGTTTACGAAGGACAGTGGTTCTGTCCCGCTGATGACACCCTAATTCGACATGATACCCAGATGTGTTTATTTTTATGCTGTCCAGAGGTGTGAGCACCTTATTTGTGATCTTTAATGATTCTTCACCTCACGCATCCTCGTTTCCACTAATTACTAAGACTTGCTTGCCTCATGTTTCTGTGGCAGCGGAACACCAGTATACGTTACTGATGTACTGCTGTTGATGATGTTGAAACCATGCAGTACTATATAATCATATCATTTTATAGGAGAAAAGCCCTAATGTTTAAAAAAGGTAAAGGTGGGAAAAAATGGGGCCTGGTTCCAGCATGGTCCAAACGATACGATATTCCTTTGGTCGGTTTTTATCACGAGTGAAGCGTTTCCGTTAATGTTCTTTATCAAGTGTAAAACAAACTGCTGCTAGTTTGTGTTTCCATACGGATGCGTTTACACCTCATTAAACGGTCTACAATAAAAACATTCCGGCGCGGTGAAGTGCGGCCAAGTGTCATTGCTACTTTTTCTAGTCATCACCATCCCCACCTTTAAGCTTCGCATGCAGAACTATTGCGATCAGCTTAGGTAGTCGTTCGGTTTCCAGATGTTTGTCATTGAAGAGACCACTTCCCACCAGCGCTAACCAACGTCCGACTATACCCCAGACATGGTCTGGCGCCCTGTTCTCTGTCGGTCACTTTGGCTAATGGTTACGAACCTATGTTTAGCAAATCGATGATCTGATTGACGACTTGTTTCACGCATAGCGCACGAAATAACCATTGGACGACTAGCTAGTAACTGCTAGCCAAGTTAGCGTTGAGGTTCAAATATGGATTTTTCAACACGCGCGCATATATTACAAGGTTACGTGTGAAGTGCATTGATCGAGTCTGTTATCATAACTATTATTCTAGTGTATGATTTGAACAGCCTCAATCATCAGCAAACTGCACTCATTTGCAAAAAAATTGATTTTGCGGGAGACCCACCTAGAACCCAGCTGAATCTCTCGTTTATGTTGTTTTCATTCCTTATGGGTAGTGTGTTACGTCTGTAGCTGCAATCACCATTTATATTTGGATATGGGATGAAACTTGTCAAACAATACCCCGGGCGTTCAATACTCTTGCACGTACATCACTCACATTTACTGGTACAGCTCGATGAATAGGAACTATTAAACACATGAAACCTGTCCCCATAAAGCAACGAAAAATGATTATCATCTGTAACTCGACAGATATTGTCATTGAGGAAACTACTCCTAAGGTTGCTGAAAACTCTTCGACAACCTTGTGAGTAGTTTTCTTAATGAAAATATACTGCAATATCTCGAATATCGTACCAATAAAACATGAGGCGGCCTTTGTGCAGCACATTCAGTGTAAGATATCGTAAACGAGAAATTCATTTGAGCCTCTCGTGAACAACTAAATTGGTTTGCAAATGAGTGTATTTGTCGACAGGTATCAAGTCATTGTGCAGCGCCTCATTCCATTCTTCGAATGATATTTCAATTTTGAAGTTTTCAGCTTATCGAAGGTAACTTACCGGCTGAGTTAGATCGAGTCCATTCACTAACATGGTGAGTGAGTTTATCAGCTCTGCCTATGAAGCGTGGTTGGAGGTAGCGTGACGGTGCAGTGAACAGTAAAGACTGTTAAATAAATCAACACGTGGACCATCCTGCGACCCAGTGAGTCCCAATCAGGAAGACCGACTGCATTATGCTTCTTTGATATGGTAGCCCGTATATCACCTCCTAGAGAGTGAATTAGCCTCTTCTATGGAGGTTCATGGGTTTCGGTTTTTGAGAGTTTGTTTCCTGGAAGAGGATCCAAATGGGGAACATTCTGTGCATTCCAAAACTGCCTGATTGCCCGATAGGTTTCTAGTCCGTATTGAAGTCTGGTCTTGAGATTGGACCTGACACATGTTTCACGATGGCACATTTAACGGATACATGTATCCTCTGTTCGATACGTATACATATGACATAGATATTTTGCTGCTGGAATAGCGAAAAACGACCTTGGCTGTGGTGGACTGAAGATTCGGCTCTATTAAGAACGGCAAATTAAACTATAACATGAAAAAATTGCGTGGAACCATTGGCGAATCGCCCTGCAGATTGTGTTCAAGATGTTTGTGCAAGCATACTCCCCAAATGAAAAGAAAGTCAAATAAAAATAATAATGAAATAATCGTTCAGCTGCGACACCCTTTCGCTGCCTAGCTGCCATGCCACCAGAAGGAAGCACGAGTGCTGGGATACTGCCAGGTTGCCCAAGCCTAGACTGGAGAAGTTGAGAGGCAGAAGTCGGGTTCGAACCAGGACCTTCCGAATTCGCTCTCTAACCACTGAGCCATCTCAAATTCATGATTATCCTCCAAGACAGCCCTTATTCGGTTACTGGAAACCCTGTAATCTCATCCATTGTCGTTTAGTGGTTACTTCGTAACCTGCAGCAATCGGTCTTGAGTGGCAGTTCTCCGAGAAAAGACTGCCTACCGGATGTCACAAACTGGTTTCACCGTTAAGCGCTTACGGGGTTTTGCGCTTGCCTTCAACTGTGTTCCAACGTAACCAGATAAAATAATAAGGTACCGCGATCATTTTACGAGTTCGGCCATACACTACTGAGTTCTGTACTGCCAGAAGAGTGATATTTTCTCGAAATCGCAAAGTTTGGTTGCGTCCATTGCGGACACACGAATCTCACAGATCATCTCATTGTGTTGTTCTTGAGAATCATTCATCATCTTATCCTATAATCCAAACATCCGATTTGAACTAACTTGTAATTAGCTGAACTGCATGTGAAATTATGGCGTCGGCAGCTGATGTTATGGTAGCTTGACTTGAGTTTGGAGTTTTGTCACATGGATTTGGCCAACGATATGAAGAGGTCACGTGTCGTACCAAATCAGCGTGCTTTGTTGATAGATTTAGTATATTTATCAGGATTGCGAATGGATTTGCAAGTTTCAACAAATACGCTCATTTGCATATCAATTTGGTTTTGACAGGAGACTCACCTGGAACCCAGCTGAATCAAAGCTTACTTGATATGTGGATGAGCGTATTTGTCGACATCAATCCAATTAAGGTTCAAGTACATAAGGTTGGCGAAAACTCGGGGACTGCTCCTACTTGATAAGCCCCAATAAGGGCGAGACCGGTCATGGGCTGTCAGCAACCTTGTCAGTAGTGGATTTGTTAGTTGTTTGTTGTCGTCTGAATGAGCTCTTTGGTTAATGAAGTTTGATATCGAACGAATCGTTTTACATATACACAAGGCTGTTGTTAGATTACCTTTCTCGGGATACGGATTACAAAATGGACATCACCCTGGGTATGACACCGCCAGCTTATTTATTGCCACCTTGGTGGTATTTCAATGGGCTGCTCCGCGTAACAGTTGCACAGAATCGTACTAGGGAAACTCAAAGATATTGACGGGTGACGCCGGTACCTTGATGAAACCCATTCTTATGCCGTCTTGTTTATGACGGCTGATGACTTCGCACGATCGCCGACCGATACTAATACCTCGGTTGTAAATCCTTGGGAAGAGCTTACATTCGGCTCGACACAGATCGCCTGTGGCCCACAACTATGCACAGACGTCCATTGGTTTGACCACTATCGACTGGCAAAGCATATTCGAATGCCAGCCATCCACAGGTAAAACAGTTTCCCTGTCAGTGACAGTGTTTCGTAGCATTGACATAGTCAGTTTCTTTAGTAAAGACGCTGGCTAGGCTAGTAGTTCTGTTGGTATGCCAATCCGGTTATCTGGCAGATGGTGTACGAACTCTTATTCTCCGAGCTGTACGTTAAGCCTCCACAAGAGTTCACGGCAGGAATTCAACTACAGATTCCTTGTTCTCCAATCCCTATAGAGTTCACTTCCTGATTCCACGATTTACTCTTTTGGACAAGTGGCTTTTCTGTCGAAGAAAGGGCGTAAATCAGATAACCTAGGGAGAAGTGCCGCAAAGCCACATATTTTGAAGATCGGATGGGAGTTTTGTAGGAATTGGATTTCCGACCGAAGCAAACGCTGTTCGTAATTTGTTTACGATTAAACCCTGGAATCCTATTGCTACTACTGAGTAGGTGTTGGGCTTATCCTCGGTTTGCGAAGGACACTGCCGGGCCTGACTTCCCATGTTCCCAGTTCTACTGGTTTCGAACACTAGTAGTCTGGGTATAGATGAATGCTACCTTGTACGTGGGGTCACGCATTCATGTGCAAATTAAAATGGTGTTCACGGGACATACTAATGTTCTGCAGCTGAATGTGCCAACTTTACGGGTAGTGATATATCATGACCAATACTTTGCTTTCTTCAATATCGTTCCAATTTGAACACGAGGTGACCTTTATGTATCACGCCTAGTTGAATAATATTTCAAACAAGAGATTCAGTTGTCTCCGGTTAACACCATTTTCAGTAGCCATCAGTTTTTGAATTCGCCTGAAACCAGATTGGTTCGATGAGACTCAAAGTGGACTAACCCGATTGTAGTCTGTCCGGAATCTTTCATTAACTTTATGTTCAGTGTCACATCAAGTAGGCCTTATGTGATTGTAGGGACGGAATCATCATCGGAACAATACATTGGGTCTTGATGGCCACGACAGCGGGGGAAAAACATCTGCTGAAGATTGGGAGATCAGTGCAAAAATGCTTAGCGTCCTTTGAGGGAACCTCAAGAACGAGTTGCCTACAGCTTTCAACAGCATCCTATCAGTGTACCGCGTCATTAGCGGGTTCCACTGAAAATCGTTTGCGAGCCATACTCAATGAAAGCTGGTGGCACAATGACAGACAAGTTTTAGTTCAAAGGTCGGGTTAGGAAGTCACAAAATGCCCTTCCCATAGGAGTGGTTACGTAGCATATTTTGTAGAGTATACAACAACTTACAAGGTGCATTTCGTAGGTCCAAGTAAAGGCAAACGTCTCGGAGCATTTTATTTGACTGCGATCACCTTCGTATCGCTTTTCCGAATGATACAGACAAACCTACTTAGGCAGCTATTTCTAGAGAGTCGACCATAACTTATGTTGCGGATTGTCCGCAGTTCGATCTTGGAACTGTTCAAACATGGGGTGAAAGCTGACTTCCGAAGGACGATGATTTTAGGATGATTCTTGCCACTCCTCGGTATCGATTTCACGGACTTGTGTGTGTGCACTTTTTGACGAGGGCGCCTTAGAATATAAGGTAAATCCAAGTAGGACACGACAGTATCAATAACTGTCATTTAGGCTACCAAGTAACGCTGACCTTTAAGGCAACAACCGGGATTTTCGTTTAATATTGGGGCTGTCCAGTGTGACCTGCACCGCATTTACATCCGAAGGGGAAATCGATCGAGGCTACTGAATATTCCATTTAAAAGGTCACTTACGGAAGCTGTCAGCTGCGCCATTTCCATGTAACCAACTACAGTGATGTCTGATCCTATGTGTCATCTCCAAAGAGACTCCATTCTCTGGCAGAACCCCTTTTCCTTGCTTACCCCTGTTCGTGAACATTAGTGTACAGTAGTGTAGTCGTCAAAGACCTCCGAACTAGAGTGAACGGTCTTGAAAACATTGACGTGCTATCCTATGCCCCTGCATTCTTTTTATCGGCTTTTACGTTCATCAAGGCGCAGTATTTTTGTGCCCACACTAACTTCATGTGTTGAATAATTGTATACTGTTTTGTGTATGGTGGACGGAATTATGTTACCCTTGATACTCAATTTCTTGGCTTCTCAGGCGTTCGCTTTGGATGTGATTCAACAGACACACGAACAGTGGAAGTCGTTGATTTCTGGGAAGTCCGACCGGAAAAACATCACATGGTGAGCTGTTTTGGCTGAGTGTATGTTTTTCCTTCTTTAGACTGTTACCAGGCTAACTAAATGATTTAACGGGCATTCTAAGTCTGTATGATCCTAATCTGTTGAAGTATGAGGAATCCTTGTATACAGATAGTCTATAGTTAATTCTAGTATGCGGTTTTTATAAGACATGTTCTCCTGGTGTCCGCTTGGAAGTATCTCATTTAGAGAGGAGTCATTCGACGGAGACCGTCTCTCAGAACGGAGCGCTCTAGTTCGTATTTTGAACTTCTGCTGAAATTTGCATTGGACAGATCCTCTTACGACACCGATCACAGACTCATTTTTGAAACCAATTTTGACCTTAAACCCCTCAAAATGAATCACAAATTGATCAACCTTATTGGAATAACACATTGGTTGAATTTCGTCCGCTGTATGTTCCAGAAACCTGTGGAGAGCACAAATTTTCCCGTGTGCTGTTGTAGGTTTTCTTGTTTGATATACGGTCACGTATGTTTTTGATAATGAGAAGGGAGAAGTGAGCTGCTAGCTGCAGCGGGTATCCTTTTATTGAGTTTGCCTAGGATTTCTGTGTATCTTTTTCACTCAGTATAGGTCACTTCGTAGGCTGTCTATATCTTAGGATTCGTATGGTTGGCTGGAAGGGCTGTTTTATTGGATAGTTGGTTGAGAGTTCACAAAATCAAATTTAGAGCAAAACAACGTAGCCTTATTTCGCTCAGGACTAAGCATAGGCACTGTTTTTTTTCTCACTGGAGCCTGTTTACCACCAGCAACTCGCGCTTTAAATCACGCGAGTAATGCACAGTACGGTTATTTTATATGACAGTACGGAACAAGTAAAGTGAGTAGGTATTCCTAGTGAGGGATGATTATCTAAGCTAGCGTACACACTATGCTTTCTAGGTATAGTATAGACGAATTGGTCGAGTTATCCTATATGTTGCGTTTCAGTCCGGACTGAAAACCTGCTCAACCTCGTACTTCTGGTTTTTCGTCGACCAGGGAAGAAACGTCTGCAAGCTGTTCACAAACTTCAGAAAACAGGTTGACAGCCATCGGATTAACAACCAAATCCTTGCAACTGACCAGGAGCAATGCCTGAGCTCTTGAGTAGACTATATCATGGAATTCGGGCCTTGTTTTAACCACATGTTGACTGCGTCAGAACACTCAATCCTCACGGATGATCTGTTATTAAACCAGCACTGAACTTTAGTTGCAAGTGATTGTTTCTAGTTGAGAGGCGAACTGAAAAGTTCATCTACACAAAACCTCTCGTTCGTGACCGGTTCCATTAAAGCATATCTGTTCAGCCCGATAGATAGAGGAAGATATCATTTATCTGAGCATTTCGATGTTTGACCATATCTTCAAAGTAGAGGCATTGTAGGATTAGCAATCTAGGAGATGTTATAGGCATTCTTCAGGATTGCTGTCATTCAACTAGATGACCTATTTGAGCACCGGGAATTGAGTGGAAAACTAAGTCAATCAGATGAAATGGATAGCACAATAACTGCTGAAATAACGCTCAAGGAAGCCTTTATGAAGATCAACCATCGACCCTGCGTGTGAATATACGATTTGGAACTAACAAATTTCCTAAGTATTGTACAGTAAATGCTGCAAGCTATATGAATAGGACAGCATACTGTCTGGAATATAAGATTCCTGAAAACAGTCCTAGAATGCCCGAAACCTACTGAGATACTCAAACCACACCATAATCGCAGTAGGGTAGCCGTCAAGCATTCAGGCCCGAAAAGCCAGTTTCTGGTCGAACGCTCAAGCAATCAATTCAGTAACGGTCAACGGTGATGAGTGGTCAGGCATTTCACAGAAGCACGACCGATAATGATAGGTGTTCAGGCATTTCATTGAAGTGTGGTCGTCGATGATGGGTGTTCACCGAACGCCAATCAGATAGCCTAGATCAATGTCAAAAGTGCCCTTTAAATACTGTTAATTTTTGTACCCGCTTGTTCGCAATGGAGCGGTTATGTTCCTTGGTGGTGAGTCTTTTTCCGATACCGGTTTGACACGGCTTTTCGCATCGATGGGATACGATCGCGCTTGTCAAGTGCCTAATTTTGCGCGACTTACTGGAAAATGACTGACACATGTTCAGTCATTCTTTGAAACAGGCACTGAGTACGCCACATTCACAAACTAAAGAACGAGTATCAAAATCATAGCGGCGGATGTTTGTTTTGAGCAAACAATCACCACTGAAGTGAATCCTAAGGTGCAAGGCACAAAGTCTTCTTAAGGAAGGTTTCGTTTCACCAGCTTTTTCGCTTCTGCAACATAGCTTCACGTAGATAAGTAGCTTTGGAACTGACGGCATTCCTCTCCTTCCTGTCATGCTGGGCTGTCTTAGTTGTCTCAGCACGATTTCATTTGTGTACCCATTTTTTCAGAGTCCTGAAAATAGAATTTAGTCATTCTTCAATCGTATCGTCCATGCAAATTTTATGGACTCTCAAATGGGCTTCCTTTATATTGCATACCTATAAGAGTGGAAGTTTGTGTACTCATCCAACCACATTGGCTTTCGGCACATCCGTTTGTATAGAGTACCGTGCAGTCTCCGGGTTAATGTAACATCAGACAACCGAAACCTGCTGTTAACTTCACCTCCCGATATAAATCCGATTGCTGAGTGGATCGAGTTAAACGAGCAAATTAATTCCTATGTAGGAGTAACAGTTTAATGAAGGATTATCAAAACATCATCATAGCGTTTATACAGATCTCAAGCCGTTGCTTTCAACTTTACTCACGTGAATTAACTAAGTGGGAATCCCATTGCTACTCAATCTCTTTGTCCAAATGTAGAAAGAACCGTTGGATAAAAAACTGTATTATGGGTGTTCACCCTCTTTGTGTTATCAGAAACATCACGCGAAAGCATTGATATCGCCTTGGCCAAACCATTACTCCTCCACGATACGTTGTTTTGTCAGTCTTAAATAATTCAGAAGGACGCTGCGCTGACTATCTTGTTTTTAGAATACTAATAATCTGAATTAACCGGAACATCGGTCGGTGTAGTTGGTTCGAAGCTTATTCACACTCTTAGACCACAACTGTGTTGTGAACACAGGTGCGGTCAGTCTAGCTATGACCTTATGATAGTCGGATCTGGCTGATTTATGTTTGTGTTTGTGTGTGTGTGTGATTTGGGTTATTCTGTTGCCGTAGAACATTCATAAACAACTTGTTCATGAAGTCGTATTTTCTCTCCTATTCGTTCACACTTCATGCTGTTGCTGCGATGACCATGTGTGTGTGTGTTGCTTCGCTCTTTCAGCAAGACAACTTGTCTTGCTGCTGACCTAGCTTGTAAGCACGCGTCAGTCTAACATGAGCTCGTTTCTTTTTTATGGAGCTCTGTTTGTTTCATTGGCCTTTACTCTTTCTTGTAGTTTCGCTTTTCATGACTGTAGACTAACCAAGCTATCGGTGTATGAACCGCCCAGTCAAAGTTCCTTTGCAGATGTGAACTTCCCCACCGACTTATTCCGGCATATCGACACGCTGCTCTTCGCGTTAGCTTCGTCCGACTCATTTTCGTTTGCAGGTGTCATTGTGTGATGAGTGCTTATTCACTAATGTAATATTGATCGGTGTGGTTTATGCGATAGGACACTGACAGACCAGCACATGTTATGATGTTTCTCTGGGTTGTAGAAGTCACGTTCAAATCAATCTCGTCTGAACAGTCGTCCTCCCTTTTGTGTGTAGTTTCTAGAATAATTGCATGACGCAACTAAATCTCGTTCTCACATGTGTAGTCCGCTGGATAAGTCAGGACTCGCTACTCTGTCTACTTTTTACCGCACTAACGTTTTTGTCATCGACCGAATCGAACAGCATTTGTGGGTGCGCCAGTCAATGTTGTTGCGAACAGTTTCACAATGTCCAGGTAAAAAGTAACATTGTAAGGCAGCTGAGGAATGGGCGTTGCTCTAGCTAGGTTACCGGAGAAAGTAAAAAAAATAAAAACAACAACGCAAGCAGCACGGTTTCGCCGAATGAAAAACTCAACCACCCCCTCTTGATGTTGGACCGACCTGTTCTGCATTAAACAGCTGTTCAAAAGACTGAGAAAAATATCACTAAAGTCGATGTAGCCGGTTGTGCGGCATATAGGTTTAATTCAGCCCTAAATTTTTCAGCTCGTGAGAGTGTTCAGCTCACCCGTATCATGGCCAAAGCAAGAGGAATCGACTCAAAATTGCTGCGAATTTCTCGACAGAGGTTGGTCTCACCGGGTACTCGCTTCTGATGGCACTAGCTAGGTAGACGCCCTATGACGTGAGGATTCCTCATTGCGATGGTGACAAGACTTTGAGCACGATTCGCTAATACGTGCTTTACTTTCGACCGTCAACACGGATTCATATTTGAATGATCTCGTTTGTGACAATTTTAACAGATTGCTCCACTGCTCCATCGGGTTTTCGCATTTTTCGACTGATCAAATTACTTACGGAGTCGATTAAACTCTTCGACAGTCCCTCGCCGATTCTCTCTTTTTGGAACTCATCAGGTACACTTAGTAGCCGAGTTCCCGTCGCTTATATTTCACATTATACCTTATTGACGAGATACACTCTTTCGCGAATTACTTTGCAGTTTATTGGAGGCTCAACTGAATCACTCGTTTACGATCTTCAACGGATGTGCTGCATTTACTTTTCACGTTGTTTTTTGGGTGATCATCTTTGGTCTTACACGCATGCTTCCAAAAACCTCATGTGTATCTTAGTAACTGTTGAAACTTTTCGTGAACAACTTAACTTAACGTACCTACACTTTTATTACATCGATTCCATATTTTATGCTATCTAGCCTGTCATTATGGTTGGTTGACCACAACAAACGGACGAACCCGAAAGCTGCTCGTGTTGATTAACGTATCACACAGTGTAGGTGTGTTCAATATCGGTTTATATAGGTGCGAATATTTGGTCGTTACCTATATTTCCAATGACCGCCGAATGAAATATCTTGTTGTACAGTAAAACTTCTTACTACAAATAGGGCTAGTCAAGTCCGTCGCTCCAGAAGAGTAAGTGTTGTAGCGCATGTGTTTTACCGCCTATTTGGTTACTCGATTTTAAGATCCCTACACCGTAACCGTCATCGAGGCGACAAATTTCAGCGCTGTCTTCATCAGGGTAGTAGGAATTCACTCCCCACAAGAATTGACTACCGTGAACAGTTTTTATTCCATATCACAAGCTAGACCATTTTATCAACATGTGACAAATCGTCATATTCTAACCTAGCCTTCTTTTAACTTAGATCTATGGTTAAATTTCATTTGTTTCCACTGTTTCTCTATCCATTGCTCTTCCTATTTTTCTCTAGTTTACTGCTGCTTGCTAAATAAGTCATACTCTGTTTTCTTTACTCTGTCCAGCTGCAATGTTTTAGTTGAAGGAAGTCCGTTTATCGTATCATCCGAAGATTTCGCCGCCGAATTACTGAAGTGTCCGAACTTCACTGAGGGCAAGCCAACATGTGATCCTGCTTGTAAGTGCCCGGTTTCCTATCAAGTTCTGTCGGTACGGAGCTAATGTACTTTTCCCCACTCTTCGTTTGTGTGGTCCGAACTCCAAAGTAGATGCTTCTTGTTTAGCGTGCCAGATTCCATCCCCAATCGCTGGTGCCTTTTCTTCGTGCATTATCACATCCAGGAAAACGTTTCAAAGGTCCATTTACTCGGGTATAGGCTTCAAAGCCTTATGTGTTAGGTGTACGATCTGTGAAAACTTGAATGTCTGACTGTTTCCATAATTTCCCCCACGCTTATTCTCGCTTGTGCAACGTCAATAAACAAACCAGCCTCATTTATTTACTGATGGATCGAGATAGTTCAGTGGTTAAGGCGTCAGCTTACGAACCGGAACGTCCGTCATTCAAACCCAGCCTCATATTCTCAACTCCTCCTGTCCAGGCTTGGGCAACCTGGCATATCCCAGCCCTCGTGTTTCTTACCGTTGGCATGACACCTAGGCACCGGAAGAGTGTGATAGCTGAGCACTTTGACTTTTTATATTTACTGACGGAGGATGCACCGTAGTCTGTGGAGACTGTGGAGTCTGACCTAAAAACTTGATCCTATTAGCACATCATTCTTTCACTTCTTCTTTTATTCTTCCACTTCTTCACTTTCCAGACCGTTTCAGCCAGCCATTTCTGTTGCGTGTGTATGTAGCCTTACCGAACTGTGCGCATTTTCCGTTTTCTTGGCTTGTGCCCCGTTATTTGATCTCGAACGCTTTGGTCGATTTGTGTTCGGTGGGTGATTGACAGATTCAAGGCATCGTTCGCATCAAGCTTGTCAACAATCTCTATTGATTTAGCTTAGCGAATTACTACCAACTGTGCGTTGTTACCTTGGGTTATAATTCTTCGTCATATTTACATTGGCGTCTTAATGTGCGTTGTAGTCCCTTCTGCATCCTCACCAGTTCAAGTGTTCTTAGAAAACTAGTGTGGTTTGATCTATTCCAGGCAGTTTAGAATGAGTTATGATGATAGCGCTTTGTTGAGATTAACTTTCTTTAGTTCCGGCTTGCTTTTGTACTACGTGTATGTTAGGTTAAACTTATTGTTCGGTAAGATGCGTGTAATTCTTGTCCACTCGCCACATCGTGACCGAGATCAACGGAATTACGCGGTCCTTTCATAATGGATGCTGAGCTGAACTGAGTAGCTTTTAAAATTGTCCCTAGTTTTCTACTCCTTTCTGTTCATATCAAAATCTTATGTACCGCACAGACCAGATAGCAGCGCCATCGAAACCTCAATTAGAAATGCTCAGTAAAGGTCGATCATTAGATAGATACCACCTTTTTTTATCCATTTCGAAAGGTTCTTAATTTTTTACAGCAATATGAAATTGCAGAAGACTTCCGCCACCGAAAACCTGGAACACTTCAGTTCTCGTAGTTTCAGAATCATGCCCTCACCTGGCCTCCTTGCGAGATTTATCCGTCTTTCAATCAATTGGATCATTATCCATCTTTCCTTTGCCAGTGAAGTCACGCTGGCCACGTGGCCAGACTGTGTAAGCTCGATCATCCAGTTGGACGATTACAGATATCCACGTGGCATGTGATTCAAGGAAATACCAATAGTTTCTATGAGCTGATGTGCCACACTATAGAATCCTTTTCGATCTCGTTCCTTTTTGACCGCATGAGCCACACTCGTGTATGATTATCCTGTTTCGGTTTTTCTGTCCATCAATATCCTATTCTGTTTTCCCGTCAACTGGTATGACCTCCTCCATTCTCCCTTCTGTTGTAGTGGATGAATGGCATTTTTGCAACAAAAATGCATAATGGCAATGTCCGATGCCCCCTTTGGTTCCGGTGCTGTTGCAATCATGGACGCATAAAGATCCCCGTCCCCAATTGATTTATACCCATTTCCACCCTGCTAGCCAGTGTTTCTCGCACACTTCAATGTTAAAAGTTATGACCGGATTTCGTGTTTTCTCGGATAAAGTGGGATGCATGTACCAATCGGGTCGTCTCGCTAGCATATCCTTTTTGATGTGCGTGGCCTAGTATTCTCCAGATGTATATACTACAAACTGGTCCTGCGTACCTGGACACGCGGATATCTCGATGTCCTAACTGTTTCAAGGCAACGCTTTAAAGCTCGTACCTTTATCTGTTTATTGTGTTTTCTGTAGCTTTGGAAAACACTGTCCGTCCTAACTGATTTGACTTTGCAGCATCATAGGTGTGTTTGTGCGTTCTGTTGACTAGTCATCCAGGTCTCACAGCCTGAAGCAATGGTAATGATCCGGTAACGGAATTTGACTCCAACAGTTGTCCTCCACTCAGATGTGTTTGACTGCCACTTGTAAACACGTTTTCCTCGATTCAACAGACTAATTCCACCATCAATCTTCTTGTGCCGATAAACCAACCGAGTACGGCAAAGCCATTAGCGTATCCTTCCCTTTATCTGCAATGGCCGTTAGATCATTGGTTGAAACGCCTCCAGTCACATTCGCATCCCCAGTCAGATTTTGTTTAACCGCCTGATATAAACAAGCAGCTTAAGGTGACTCAGGTGTGGAGGCAGAAGCCCTTGAGTGTTCATTTTTCTGTTGCGTAGGCCTAGGCCACCGGACAGCATCCGAAACTTCGTGTTACTTTCCGATTCCGTTGTGCCTATTTCCCGAAGTTTCGTTTGATTTGAGTTAATTAATTAATGGAATATATAGTGAATTGTGACAACCAGCCACCGGGTAATAATTACCTCCACTTTGGGTGATTCCCGCAAAGTACTACTTCCTCTCGAAAGGATCCAGTGACGTCAATAGAAGGCAAGATCGATCACAAAGAGTAGGCACTGTTAGAATGAACTAACAGTTGTAGCGCTCAGTCTAGGTGGTGCTACTGGCAAGGGTCTTGATAGATACATGTCCAGGCTGCTGGATAAAAACGAACAAATGCAACTACAAGACCACGTGATTAGCAAGATTCGGAACACAGTGTCATTTGTTTGTTGCATGTGTCGCTGTTTGAGAAAACTAACTTGAAATCGAATTAGGGATGCACTTACGGACGCAGTTCTTGAGATCAGCCCATCAATTAATCCGTCAGATTTATTTCAACCAGTCTTTTTACGTCCTAACTTTTGTGCTTATTGGAAGTTATTGGCTTCTTTTGAAAATATAAATCGAAGCCAGTCTCGTTTCATAGTTTTCGTTGAATATTTTGTAGGGTTCAGGTTTTTCGAGTTGAGTTTACCCTCGCAGAATTCTTGATTTATTTTAACCATATTGTCCACTGAAATATGCGGGTCCAAAGTTTAGTCTGACTAGTCAGTTCAAGATGGATTTCATGATCGCTTCTGGAATGGTCGACGAAGTAGTTCTGAACGACGTATGCGGCTTCCTAATGGACTTGCTTCAATCAAGTTGTTAGTAGTGCTTTCACCGTGAAGCTGCCGCTATAGCAGATGGCTACTTCGGTTCGGGTCAACAAACTAGTTGAGTTTATTATTTGAGTTCGTTGTCCTCCAGTAAGCTAATGGATCATACACTTGCTTTATAATAGAATAGAAGAAAATAGTACATGTGGTAAACCCTATGCCAAATCGTTCCAATACATGTGAAAATTGAAGTTATACTTTTCTATGTTGACGACTATCGGTCATAAATATATTCTTGATCCCGACAAACTCCGCCGTTATTCCAGTGTGTCATACAACACTTACTTCTCCACAATTTTATTGTATTATTTAGATTGAACAACTGTGCTTCAGCGCACGATATGAATTTGAACCCCCTAGTGGTCCTCTCATAGATCTCTGGAGTAAGTAAGCGAAACTGCAGAAGGGAGTGCACCAGAAAGACCAGTGCTCAGCAACCACAACTAATGTCAACGCGAAAACAGAACCATGCAAGTTTACAGTCCATTGGGAAACCAGTTTGTTGTGTACCCATTCTTGCCGTTATGCACCCAACATCACTCCGATTTCACCCAGAAGGCCAACTTTTTGTTCCAAGCTATCTAAAAAATCGTTCAGCTGTGGAGCCCTTCCGGTGCCTAACTGCCATGCCACCTGAAGGAAGTACGAGGACGTGGATACTGCTAGATTGCCCAAGCCCAGACAGGAGAAGTCGAGAGGCAGAGGTTCGAACCACGGACCTTTCGGTCAGTAAATTCGCGCTCTAACCACTGAACCGTCTCGCATATGATAGTTTCCTGAGCTTTCCACAACTTCTGAATTCGTGTCCACATACTGATTCTGTATACTTAGGATTGGAGGCAGAGTATTCTTTGGCCACCGATGCTAACCTGCGTGAATATGCCTCAAAATACAGTAGAGTGATAAATACAGATAGAACACTGTGGTACGTTTAAGATGTACAGCCGGTCGTATGGCCCATCAAGCTTAAAGACGCTCATTCTATACACTATGCAGGACGAACTTGCGTGACTTTCCTGAATTGCGTCTGGAAGCTTACCGAACTCTGAGAACAGAGTTCATACCGAATGATACACTGGGAAAATAAAACAAGGAACGAATTCAGAAACTGTCGGAATATAAGTCTCTAAACAAATGGGCGTTCAGGATTACAGCTTGCTAGAAGGCCTGAGTTTATGACTGAGGCAACTATATCGGGATGTGGAAGAAGGCAGAACACAGGTCCTTACTCTCTAGTTGCACCGAAGGAGGAGAATGTACGGTGTTAATATCACAGATAACAGCTGCCGAATTCTTGACGCTCATCAAACCAAGTAACCAGGTCAGAGACTCGCTTACTGGGACCACACTATAACGAAGGTACAGTAGGGCAAATAAAACCACCATTTTGCGCATTCTGGCAGGGCTACCAGCTCACTTGAGTGTCGAACAAAGTTTCCGTCCGGAATGCGGAAGGTGACTGAATACACCGCCATCCACACCGAGGGCAAATCCAGGCACCAAGATAGTCCGTCCGAATGCCCCAACTAGAACGAAATTATATATAGTTCTGATATCATCCGGGGCCTTTTCTTGAAATTGTAGATTGTAAAAGGAAGTCTTGGTAACGGGTACACTGTTACACCACTGATTGAGACGACCGGCCAACATGCATACTTTTGAAAAGACTTCGCGTTTATCTCCAGTTGACGGCGCATATTTTTAACGAAGCTCAAACTTACTGAGGAAGAGTTGACTTGAGTCCTCAGCCCTGCTACCCGTTGTTAAACGTAATTTAGGAGGTGCTTGTACTGAAAGGAGCATACAAACCCGGGTATTATATAACAACGTATGTGACATGCTTCACAGAGGAACACAAGATCCAAGTTCATAAACGGCAGACTCCGGGTCTCGATGAATAACTTAGTACTCTGTAGCATGGGACATCAGGAAGTCAGCGGTATTCGACGTTCGAAAGGATGTAGAGACAGCACACGTCGGTGCTGAAATGTGCAGATATACTGACTGGTATTAATGAATCAACACGGTATGCACAGCACACATGCGCCCAGGTCGGGTGTGACGGAAAAGAACACCGGAGCGTGGCAACGACACACGTGTATTAAACCGAAACCGGAAGACGGGGGTACAAAGTCCGGCCAAGGTCAATCAGAGGGGTGTAGAAGAGGGTTACTCTTTCCTGGCCAGGGCTCGTGATGGCTCGTCCGTAATACCCGCAATAGGGGCAGAGAGGGATAGGAACGTATAAGGTCATATGAGAGACGTGCAAGCAGATACAGCCGAGTTTCAAATGCGTTAAAACTCAGCAGTGTGACCTGCCGACTCTCCCTCAAGGTCGTGCACGCTGAAAGAAGCGAAGCTAACACAAAGCTAGGATATGGCCTCTGGTACAGTTCACAAATTGGGGGTAGCGTGTAGAGCCCATCCAACCGTCGATATTTTAACATCACTTCGGCAGCTATAGAGTTACCTAAAAGAATGGTTCAAGGTAATTCCACTCGTCACTTCACCGACAGTCGGTTGGTTAGTGCCTATGAGCTCTTATTTATCTAGTCACGCTCCTGCATAATCGTCCTACCCAGCTTCTTCAAGAAATTTCCAAACAGGTAGGACAAAGGCAAGAACGTTGCAGTTGATTACCGTTACACCACAAAAGCCCCCGTCTTGGTGGATGAGAGACTAGCTGTCCTGAAACCTGAAGTGTACCGAACGCCAGTCACTCAGTAACTAGTCAAATGACAGGTTTGTCCTGAAAGCAGGATGGGCTACACCAACGTATGAAGCAAGTGCCAGAAAGTTCTCACAGAGCACCTTACTAAAGCCATTCCCGTCCTCCGTAAGCAATGTCAGACGAAGATCATAGACTGTCCGGTTACGTGATTGCAGATGACGATGTTACGGTTCGGTCACGCAGCGAGCAAACAATATGATAATGCGGATTGTGGCAATACTCTATCCCCAGCTATGTTGCTTGATCCAGACTCCTAGCACGGCGAATCGTAAGAAGACGAAAACCTCGGACACAAAATTTAATAATCCAACAACACACGATCAACAGGCGATGCCCGGAGCTTCCGAACCCAAGTCAGTGGAAAGAATGGTATCCTGTACGTGGTCGGATTTAAATTTCCTTGGAGTATCAATAGGCCATTGATTTTTCATAGTTTGACCTTGAAGATGCCGGGAGTTCACTAGCACACATAAAAACAGCGTTTTCTGGGGGATGTTGATATCCCCAACAGTAAACGCACTTGGCAAACGTGGAAAAACCGGAACTCTAGGACGACCCGCGTTTTATCGTACAATGGAAGGCAGAGTGGAAGCTACCAAGTATCGTGAACTGGTGGTAAAGCTCAATGAGGACGGGGATGAAAACGGTGGTATCCCATTAAGCACGAGTGCAAGTGCGTCAACGCAGTGAAAAGATAAAGAAGTGCAGGATTGCCGGCGACTTAAAACCCAGTGCACAGTTTACAGTCGCTGGTCAAAATCGCCGTTGTGGCTTGACAAATGCTAGACCCATTGTATCTGGTCGTA